AGGGTCATAGGAGTAAGGGGTAGGGTGGTGGATGTGATCAAATCTACCCTGTAGAAAAAAATCACCTTGGAAGCTGAAGGGAGGATGGATTAAAGTAAGGACAGACTTAAAGGATGGAGACCAATTAGAAGGCTATTGCAATAATTCAGGCAAGAGATGAGGGCCTGAGCTAGGGTGCTGGGTGGGTGAGTAGAGGAGACATATACAAGAGATGTGAATGCATCTGAGGCAGCTAGGGTGGATGGAGTACTAGACCTGGAGAAAGGAATATCTCAGTTCAAATCTGGCCTCAGACACTTACTAGTCATGTGATGCTGAGCAAGTCACTTAACCTCTGCCTCAGTTTTGTGAGGATCAAATGAGATAACATTTGTAAAGCACTTAGCATTTAGCAGACACTTAATAGCCTTTCCTTCTTTCCTTCCCTCCTTCCTTCCTCCCTCCCTTCCTTCTTTCCTTCCTTCCTTTATCCCTCCCTGTTTCCCTTCCTTCTTTCCCTTCCTCTCTTGCCTTTCCTTCTCTTTCCTTCCTTCCTTTGAAACAATAAGATTTGGCAACATATTGGATGTATGGAATGAGTGAAAGTGAAGAGTCAAGGATGTCTTGGGTGACTGGGGGAATGTTTGGTGCCCTTAACAGTAAAGGTTTAGGGGAAAAGATAATGAGTTCTGTTTTGGACATACTGAGTTTTGGATGCCTATAGGATATCCAGTTCAAGATGTCCTAAAGGAAATCAGTAGCACACGGCTATAGCTCAGGAAGGAGAGAAGAGCTAGATATAGAAATCTGGCAATTATCTGCATAGAAATTATAATTGAACCCACAGATTTATGGGTTCATCATGCTGATGAGATCACCACACACTATGCTATACATTTCCTAGGTGCCTATTAAATGCCAAGGATTGTGCTAAGCACTGAGGATACAAAAAAAAAAAGGCAAAAGACAGTTCTGGCTCTCAAGGACTTTACATTCTAACATGGGAGACAACATAATATCAAAGTACAAACAAGCTATATACAGGATAAATTGGAATGGGGGGAGGGAGAAGGGCTTCCCATAGAAAGTGAGATTTTAGCTGGGACTTGATGGAAGTAGAGGTAGAGATGTGAAAAGATAGTATTCCTGGAATAGGGGATAGCCAGTGAAAATACCCAGAGTCAGGAGATAGACCATCTTGTTTGAGAAACAGAAAGGAGTATAAAGGATCACAGAATATATGGTAAAGTGTAAGATGAAAGAATAGAGGATTTTATGTTTGATCCTGGAAGTGATAGGGAATCATTAGGGTTTGAGAGGAGGGAGGGGGCATGGACAACCTGGACTTTAGGAAGATCTCTTTGACAGCTGAAGATGATGAACTGTAGTGAGGAGGGACTTCAGACAGGGAGACCAACCAGTGAGCAATTACAATAGTCTAGGCTGGTGGTAAGGGCCTGAACTAGGGTAGTGGCAGTGTCAGAGGAGAGAAGGAGGCATATTTGAAAGGTGTTACAATTGTTCAACATCATAGTATTTGAGAGATGTTAATGTAAAGCTGACAGGCAACATAATAGGTATGGGGGGGTAATGAAAGAAAGTAAGAAGTGGAGGATGATACCTAGGTTTCAGCCTGAAGGATTGAGAGAGTGGTGGTGCCCTCAACAGTAATTGGGAAGTTTGAAGATGAGGAGGCTTTTTTTTTGGCGGGGGGGGAGGGAGAAGGTAGTAAGTTTAGTTTTAGACATGCTAAGTTTAAGACGTCTCTATGGGGCATCCAGTTTGAGATGTCCAATAGGCAGTTAAAGATGCAGATCTGGAGGTCAGCAAAGACGTTAGGGCTGGTTAAATTGATTTGAGAATTTTGTTCATAGGAATGATAATTGGATCCATGGGAGCTGATGAGTTCAACAAGTAAAATAGTAAAAAGAGAGAAAAGAAGAGGACCCAGGATGTATTCTTGGGAGTGTGCAGAATGAATGACTTTGAGTTGGTTGAAGATCTAGCAATGGAGAGTGAGAAAGAGTGTTAAGATTGATAGGAGGATAAACAGAGAGAGTACTGTCAGGAAAACCTAGAGAGAAGAGAGTATCAAGGTAAAGAGAGTGATTAACACTATTAAAGGCTTCAGAGAGGTCAAGATCCTCATTACATCTCCAAAGGATATGAAAGGCAGTTTTTCGAAGAAATCTAAGCTGTCAATAACTTTTATAAAAAAATGCTCAAAATCATAAATAAAGAAATGAAAACTAAAATAACCCTAAGATTTCCTCACACCCATCAGATTGATAAAGATAAAAGAGGAAAATGACAAATATTGGAGGGATTGAGGGAAAACAAGCACACCAATGCATTGTTGGTAGAGTTGTTCATTGGTCCAGCCATTCTGGAAAGCAATTTGGAATTATGCCCCAAAAATTATTAAACTCATTGACCCAACTATATCACTACTAGGTGATACCTTCAAAGAAATCAAAGGGAAAAAAGGGTAAAGACCAATATGTTTTAAAAATGTATGTTTATATCAGTTCTTTTTGTAGTAGTAAAAAACCTGAAACTAAAGGGGTATCCGCTTATTGAGGAATAAACAAATTGTGGTTTATTAATATAATGGAATGTTATTGTGCCATAAGAAATTAAGAAATAGGTAGTTTCAGAGGAAAATGGGAAGACCTCTGTGGACCAACGCAGAATGAAGGGAGCAGATCTAGGAGAACAATTTATACAGTGACAACAACTTCATAGAAAAAAACTACTTTGAGAGACTTTAGAACTTTGAGTAATGCAATCATAAACCACCAAGGAGGATGAATCACACCACTAAACTCCTACTAGACAGGTGATGGATTTAAAATCCAGAATGAGACAAACATTTTGGGACATTACTAATGTGGGAATTTGTTTTGCTGTACTATTTGTGTTTGTTGTGAGAATTTTTTAAAAATTGTTTAATATGGAGGAGAGGGTCAATGAGAGAGATACTAAATGTAAAAAACCCCCTTTTTTTTTAAAGAAAGAAAAGATCTCACTCAGGAAAGAGTCTTGGGGTCACTCATGCTTAGTTGGTGTGACATGGATAAAGAATCAACAAAGGAGACTGAGAAGCAGCTGGACAGAAGGCAATCAGTAAAGAGCAGTTTAATGAAAATTCAGAGAGAAAAGTATTTATGTGGAAAAGGTAATCAACAGAGTTCAATGCTGCAGAGAAGTCATGAAGGCTAACTGCCATCTTCCTTTTATTCTCAGGATGACAGAGAGAATCAGGTAGGTATCATTATGTTTATTCTGAAGGGGAGGAAACTGAGGTCCAAAGATATTTCAGTAATTTGCCCAAAGCCACATAGCAAATCAGTGGTAGAGTAAGGTCTGGGACACAGGCCTACTGGCTTCCTATCCTATTACATCATTCTTGGGGATGACCTTTCCCTAGTAAATGGGAGAAGATCAGGATGAATGTGAGTGGGGTGAGGAAAGAAGGAATGAGAAAGAACAGGAGCTAGTGAGGTGGGGAGAAGGATTGTGGTAGGTATGGATAAAGGGAAGGGAACAGAGGAAGCATGTTGGCTTTGAGCCCTCATCTATGATATGAGCCAGTCATCTTGTTCTCACATACAGGAAACAGGGCTTGTAGCACTATATATAGACTTAAAATTGAAGGTACCCTCAAGGTTATCTAGTCTGATCCCTCCTACTGCAGATGAGGAAACTGAGGTCCAAAGACGTTAAGGTTGGATGCCTCTTTTCTCCCACCTCTATTTTTTTTTTTAGTTTTATTGTTGTCTTTTGTTTTTTTGAAACTCCACCAGCCACCACTACTAAAACTTTCCTTGTAACAGCAACAAAAATGCTTTTTAAAAGAAAAAAAAGCAAACAACCAGTGACTTTATGATGCCTTCCACAGTCCATACTTCCCTACCTCTCTACTAAGAGAAAGAAGACATTTCATCATTGCAATTAAACAGAATTCTGCTTCTATTTAGTGCTGTTTTTCATTTATATTTGTAATCAGAGCTATCCCCTACATATAGCATGGTGGGGTGTCATTGTGTGACTGGAAGGAAGGCAGACTAGGCATCTCTAGCCTCTTTTCATCCCTCCCCCCTTATCCAAGGGAGACTTTAATTCTTGCCAGGAGGGAAAGCAGGAAGCTGGGGTCAGAGACCACCACTCTGCTCTCCTCAGAGAGAGGGGGTACCAGATTAGAAGTATATATATCTGCTCTCTTAAATATTATTAGCCTAGGTGATATGATTTTTCAGGTTCAAGCTAATTTCAAATCACTGTTTCATTATTGAGGGAAAGAGGACTCCCAAGCTTTACATCCAAGGCGCCACCTCTTTCCCAACAAATACCATTTCCACAGTGAACACACATAGCAATTAGCCAAGAAACCCATTTATCCAAATTGGTAGCAAAATAAAAGTCAGAGAAAGTATACATAGGAGGATATATACCATACAATATAGAGTGAAGGAGTTCTTCCATTGGGAGCAAGGTAACAGCTCAGGCAAGAAAGAGAGTCCTGGATCTCATCTAAGGGACATTTCCTGAATTCTCTAGGGTAGCAAGCTGGGGACTGGGATGTGTTAGAGACTGCTTGCTCCTCTCATGTTGGCTTTTTCCCAGAGTCTTCTTTTCCTTCATCTACCTGAAGCAGGATTGGCATCTCTTCTCTCTCAAAGCTAGAAGCCAGAAGTACCTGGAGTCCAAAAAGACTGATGAGAACCAAAAAGACTCAAAGAAATTTGAGGAGACTCCCAAGCATGAGAGCAGACCTCTCCTCTTCTGCTTTAACTTCCCTTGACACCTGATGCAGATCCAGGGTATTGCTCTCTACCACTGAGAATCCCATATCAATGGACTTTGGCACTGGGGTTACACATTATTAGAGGCTTGGTATATATTGTTCTCCTGCTTCTACTGACTTTGATGACTCTGAAAGAGAGAGGGAGGCTGATGACTTTGTGCAGCATTGCCTCACTTAAATCTAATTCATGAACAAGTCAAGATGTCACCCTCATAATGTAATTGGTCCTCTTCAAAAATGAATGACAAACAACAGGTACTTGATTCACTCTGCATCAGGTCATTCAAGTCTTCTCATGTGTCTTTAAATTCCTCAAAGTTGTCATTTATTAATTCATCACATTCACATGTCATACACAGCCAATCCTCAATCAATGGGCACCCACTCTGTTTCCAGTCTATTGCTACCAAAAAAAAAGTTCTATTATAAATACATTGCGATTATGAGAACTTTCCTCCCTCATTTTTATCTCCTTAGATATATTTCCAGTAATGGGCTGGTTGGAACTGATTCCAAATTATTTTCCAGGAAAACTGAGTCAATTGACAGGTGAAAATTAACTGTGTCTTTCTTCCCATAAACCTCCCAACATAGTTGTTGCTGAGTTATTTCAGTCATGCCTGACTCTTCATGACCTCATTTGGAGTTTTCTTGGCAAAGATACTGAAGTGGTTTGCCATTTCCTTCTCCAGCTCATTTGACAGATGAGGAAACTGAGGAAAACAGGGCAAAGTGACTTGCCCAGGGTCACACAGCTAAGTAAGTGTCTGAGGCTAGATTTGAACTCATGAAGATGAGTCTTCCTGATTCCAAGCCCAGTGTTGTATCCACTAGCTTCCAATACAATTTCCATCTTTTATCATTCTTGCCACTTTCAGATACCTTCTATCTGGGAATTACATCTGGATCTGAGAGCTCACATTTGATGCCAGGGGCCTCAATAAAATCAGGTGGAGGGAGGGACCACGATATTTGTACAATTCCATTTTAAGCTAAAAAGCCCATTATAAGTTGTTCAGATCCTAGGTCCTTTTTGCAAATAGGACCAGGTTCAGGAAACAGCCTACCACTTGATGGTATTTTACACTTGCCTGCTTGCTGGTCCTGTCAATGTTCTAAAAGGGTGAGCCCCTTTTAGATTTCAACAAAGTTGAAGGGCTTGAGGGGCAAAGACAGGAAAAAAATGAAATGCAAAGGTAAGGCCCTTTGAGGTATAAATGGAGCACGCCACACTTTAGAAGGGGTTAGAGACTTCAAATATCAGTTGAGTTTGATTCCTTAAACCTTGAAGGGGACAACCCAGGACCCAGAATGCAAGAGCCTTTGGACAGGTCTCAGACCACCATTCTTGACTCCAGACCAGCTCTCCCAGCCATCACTGGGGGAAGCAACATCCGTGGAGAAAGATCCCACCATCTCCACCAACTGCCACTAACAGGACGAGGAAGCCAGTCTAGCTGAAGCAGGAAGGCACTCAGAGGAACAGGCAAAAGGCAGCACGGAGCCAGGCGATTCAAAACAATCACCACCCCTCACTTAAAGCATCATCTCTCACACTTTGATCCGGACAGTACAGGACCCTGAGCCGGGGAGCCTTGGGTATAGCAATACTCCTAGCCCAATGCCCTCAGTTATCATTCTGGGAAGCAACCCTTGTGGAGATGCAGCCTGGAAACTGCTCCTACAGGTGCTACAGTCACAGTTACTGAAGACCTGGAAAAATAAATTCTCAACACCCCCAAAGTCTTTGGTACCACTTCAACATCAGGAAATGATACAACATTAAAGAAGAGGCATTAACAACTGCTTTGCCACTGTACCCTAAGGACCACAGAAGTTTTCCATCTGACTTGCAGCTGAAACTTTCCATGTGTGCTGTCTCCTGTCTTAGAATGAGATCTCCTTGAGAGGAGAGTTGTCTTATTTTTCTCTTTCTATCCCCAGCACTTAGCAAATGCTTTGCACATAGTATTTCCTTAATAAATGATTTATTCATCAGATGAAAAGCCTAGTGAAGACAATGAACTTCCCCCATAGTATAGATCTATGTCCCCAACTACTTATTTGCATTAGGCAAATAATTAATAAGTAAGTAAATAAATAAGCAAATAAGCAGGAATGTGGGAAATGGAACTGGCTAGTAATCTTAACAAAGAGAGGAGTCTGTCACTGAGATAACCCAGCTCTGAACTAAGAAGAGCTATCAAACAGGTTGTCAAATAGGAAGAGCTATACCTCTCCCACCTCCTTTCTGGGAGGTCATAAACCTCAGAGCTAAGGCCTTGAGGGAGTCAAAGAGGAAAGGCTCTGATAATCCTAAACTAAGAATTGCTGCCCTTTCTGAAAATTCACAGTAGCACTTCACCTGAAAAGAGTGCTATAACTCCTCTAACAAAAGGAACACAGTAATGTCCTGCTGAGCCAGAGGCTAGAGGTGTTGGGGATTGAAGCTGCTTATCAAAGGGCAAGCCAAGGCAATCCAATATATCTACACATTCAGTAAAGACCTCTGTGCCCTGTAAGGACACAGCTAAGCAATGGAGCGACTTATCTATCGTCGGTGCTATGCTCCGCAGTGAATTTCATAACGATTCTCTGGAGAAAGAAGGGACATTGAGGTCCTATTGTTCCAGTGTTGGGAGTTGCTTTGGATATGTGTGTTCCCTACATAAGTTCCTCCCTACCATTGTACAGTAAGTTTGTGCCCACTCTTCCCCCCACCCCCTACATAAAGACTTCATTTATAATTTTTGGAAATCACGTTCCAGATTTTTCAGGGCAAGGGAGAAATTTTATAACTACTGGCTCTTTGGATGAATGTCTTTGCTAAGAACTTAAGACTACTGGCTGATTGTTAATTGGAAAGACACTAGTAGGGGCTTGTAAGCTCCAATAAAGTGGTAGTGCAGTGGATAGACTGTTAGGGTCTAGAATCAGGAAGATCTGAGCTCCAATCTGGCCTCAGACAATTATTAGACCTGGAGTAAGCCATTTAATCTTTGTTTGCCTCAGTTTCATCAACTGTAAAATGAGGGAAATAATAGAACCTATTTCGAAGGGTTGTTGTGAGGATCAAATGAGATAACATTTGTAAAAGCACATAGCACAGTGGCTGGCTCATACTAGGTACTACATAAATGCTTATTCTCCTCTCCTCCCTCCTACACATTAAGAATGGCCCTCCATAGGACCCTTTGTAAAACCCTTTGTAACCACCCCTTTGGGGAACCAAACTTCTAGTTCCAATTCAAGGAGGAGGACTGAGCCCCCCAGCTTGATTGTAAAGAATGCTAAATTTTAAAAAGAAGAGATGGTTTGTCCTGATAGTGAGCATTCTGTGTCTGGAGTCTGGAAACCTGTACTGTAATTTCAGCTCTAGCCATACTCCTAGGCATGTAATTTTAGGAGGCAAATCACTTGTCTTCTGCATACACTTGTTTCTCTATAAAACAGGAGTGATAATGCCTAGCTACTCCCTCACTAGGGAAATAGTGAGTGAAAAATGAGATCATAGATGAATCATAGAAAAAGTGAAAATGTGGAAGGATTTCGGAAAGCTTAGAAGACAGGTTGTAAAAAGTATTAGTTCTCACCACAGGTCAGGACACTTTTGGCTTCTCCATAACTAGGATGATGGCGTATACTGAGGAAACGCAAACTCATCTTAACATCATCTTGAGCCAAACACAGTGAGGGAGATATCTAAGGTAAGGAAATAAGACCTAATTTATCCCAAAGCCAAACAACAGACATTTGGATTATTCATACCATTTCTCCACTCTATTTGTGTGCATGTAGAGAACTAGCCTCTATCATTCCCAATCTTCTTTCTTCCATCACTCTATTCCTCCCTGTTCTCCTTGACACCCGTAGTCCTGGATCAGAGACCTATGAGATTTGCTCACTCCTTAAACACCTTGAGAAGAACATAAAATAGCAAATCTCTGAGAGACCTCAGAGTTCAAGACCTGAAGTCAGAAAAAGATGTGAGTTCAAATCCTGCCTCAAACACTTGCTAGCTGTGTGATCCCAGGGCAATTCACTTAATTGCTCACAGTTTTTATAAAATGGGGATAATTATAGAACTTCTTACTTTGGGTTAGTATGAGGCAAAAAAAAAAGAGAAAACATTATAAACCTCAAAGTACTACATAAATATGAGTTGTTATTATCATTATTACCCTTTTTAATAAAAAAAAAATTTAAATCAGTCTGCTTTAAAATCCTGGCTTGTAAAATGGATTGTATGATTTAGAGCTGGAAAGGATCATTTTATGGTTCCGGTGTGTGCATATTGTGTGTGCCTGTGTCTGTGTTTGAGTGCATATGTGCATGCCTGGGAGCTAAGATGGGAAGAGAAGATGAGCGGACAGCCATTGAGAATCACAGAGGCTGGCACCTCCTTGTTCAGCCAATATAATTATGACCTTGTAGTCTGACCTGGTACCATGGCTACTTCTGTTATGGAGGGGCACTTCCTGCACAGTTGCTGCCTGAAACTCCCAAGTGGATCAACCACCTCTTATTCTTTCTGCCTGTCAAGGTGTCTGGCTCCCCTGACAGCTCATTCAGGTGAGGTGAGGACAGGTTCTCCGGAGCCACCTCCCCAGGTGTGATGATGAATATGCCATTAGCCTGCCTGTGGTTATGTTGGCAATTGAACTGGAACAGGAAGTAAGTTTCATAAACTGGAGTGCTGACAAATTCATCAGACAAATGAACCTGAGTGCACAGCACTTCTCCACTTTGGAGATTGGAGAATTGATTGGAGAATCACAGGTCCACTGACTAAGAGCTGGAAGAGACTAAAAAAAGACAACAACCACCAAAAAAACCCATCCTTCTTCCTCCTCCCCTCCCCCTTTCCCTACCCATTTCACAGGTGAGAAGATAGAGGCCCATATAGGTTTAGCGACTTGCCCAAGGTCACATATCTAATAACCTACAGAACCTGGATTCCAACCCAGGTTGGAACTGGGTTAACTCCCAAACTAGCCTTCTTTCCACCCCAACTGGAAGCACTTCCACTGCCTTCTGTACATGATGATTCCTCTCCAAGGTGAAAACAACTATTAGGCCTCTTGCCCAAATTGAATCTAAAGAACATTGATGTAGAAGTCAGGAGCTATGGGTTCTAGTCCCAGTTCTGTTCTTAGCTAGTGATTATGGGCAGCTAGGTGGTGTACAGATTGAGTGCTGCGCCTGGAGTCAGGAAGATTCGTCTGGCCTCAGACACTCACTAGCTATGGGACCCTGGGTGAGTCATTTAATCCCGTCTGCTTCAGTTTTCTCATCTGTAAAATGAGTTGTAGAAGGAAATAGCTATCTTTGCAAAGAAAACCCCAGAATGGGGTCACAAAGAGTCGGCCACGATTGCATAACAACAAAGAGCTTTTATAATCTTGAAGTCATTTTACTTCTCTCCTCTGTCTTTGTTTATCTGTAAAACAAATAGAAAGGGGGGCACACACCTTCAATAACAATTGTGAGGCTGCACGTTGGTTTAGAAAACCCTATATTAATGTTATATGTGTTCTATCATATTTTTATTTATTTTGTTAAATATTTCCCAAATGCACTTCCATATGCTTGGGGCCCATTCAGAAATGTTACCGCATGCTGCTATTTGGACTCCTCTGGCCTCTGACTTCTAAGAAGGGATTTTCTAACTTTGCATCTGCCAAATTTTAGGTTTGAGCATGTATACCTCAGAATACTGCAAATGCAACAAGTGCTGTAAGCTAAAGCTTCATTTATTGTTTTGTTGATTGCCTAGATTGAAGGGTGAAGGGAAAGTGTTCATAGTGTAGATTAAACTTAAAAGGAAATGTCCTGTGTATGTTTTTTTGGGGAAATGTTTTTCAGTTGTTTCAATTGTATCTGACTTTTTGTGACCCCATATAGGGTTTTCTTGGCAAAGATCCTGGAACAGTTTGCCATTTTATTCTCCAGCTCATTTTACAGACAAAGAAACTGAGGGAAACAAGGTTAAGTGACTTGCCCAGGGTCACGCAACTAGGAAGTGTTTGAGGCTGGATTTGAACTTAGGTTTTCCTGACTCCAGGTCCAGTGCTCTAGCTACTCTGCCACCTAGGGAAGCAGGTTATTAAATATTTACCAGGACACACCTGGCACACAGTCTAGGGGAAAATGGGCTCAAACTTAGAAAGCCATATGTGACAAAGTAGTAACTCATAATTCCTCGTTGGATGAAAGTCCTTTTCTTCCTTCCTCACAAAATCTCTATATCTATCTATCTATCTATCTATCTATCTATCTATCTATCTGTCTGTCTGTCTGTCTGTCTGTCTGTCTGTCTATCTATCTATTCACCCATCCATCCATCCATCCATCCATTAATCTGTTTGGTTATTGATAGTGTTGGAGCATCTCTCTTTTGGGATCTTCAGGGTACCCTTGTAGAGTCCTGAAACTGCAATTCTTGTTGTTCCCTTGATTGTCACAATTTTCTCCTATGTGCCTAATTTGTCCTCTCTCTCAGCTCCTACATGGATGTATTAACTCTTGCTGGCCCGTTCTCTCCAATAATATGGTCAATGGGGGTGGGAGTGGGGAGTGTGACACTCCTTCTAAGTTTGGTCTTCTTCTCCCTTTCTGCCTTCTGGCTACAGATGAAAGGTTCTGCCTCCTCAAAAACCTCCCAAAGCTTACTCTTGAAGCAATTGCTGGAATGCTGTGGCTGGAATCTCCTTTTCTGGCCCAGAAGTATGCCTAATTCTATCAATCCCAATAAATTTTGTCATTTGATTTCACCCACTGGCTTGAAGTACTTTAAATCTTCAAACCTAGCTTACCTTTGATCTGCAGACTAAATAGAGGTGTCTAGGAATTATTCACACCTAGTTTACACATTTGATTGATTGATTCTATAACTCAAAGAGGCTTTTCACCTGATAAAGTTATTAGGGCTTAGAGCATTTTGTTGGTTACATTAATTGGGATTGGGAGCTGTGAAACACTCTTTTTACACCTAGATAACAATAACTCACATTTCTACAGCACTTGAAACTTTATAAATTTTTTCATTTCATTAAATATTTCCCAATTACATGTAAAAAAATTAACAATCACCAAAAAATGTTTTGATCTCCAAATCCTCTCCCTCCCACCACTTAAAACTTTATAAAACATTTTCCTCACAACCTATAAGGTAGATGGGGCAAATATTGTTATTTCTATTTTGCAGGTAAAAAAACTGAGGCTCAGAAGGGTGGTTTGTCTAGATGATATCTACAGAGCTTGTATATGTCAGTCTGGTATTTGGACCTAGGTTTTCTGAACCTAAGAACAGCACTATTTTTCACCACACTACCCATCTCAGGCTGATTCACCAATTCTAATGGTGTTATTTTAAGATTCCCCTCTTGGGGCAGTTAGGTGGCTCAGTGGATAGAGCTCCAGCCTTGAAGTCAGGAGGACCTGAGTTCAAATTCAACCTCAGGCTATCTGTGTGACCCTGGGCAAGTCACTTAACTCAGATAGCCTCACCAAAAGGAAAAGATTCCCCTCTCATATTTTGGCGACAGTGAGAGACTTGAATCTTTGCCTCCAAAGCCAAACTAGATCCCTGAACTTGACTCTGATTTGTAAAGAGTTTTCCAGGCTCCTAACCTCACCAGAATCCTCCCTGATCTTGGGTTTGGTATTGTAGCAAGCAACACAAAAGTCCCCGGTGCTTCAGCCCCCTCACCACTGAGGCCTATTCAATTCCAATTCTGTGACTCACAAGGACCACTCATCTAGGAGAATACTCAAAAAAGCATCTGCTTGCAATTAATATGCTTGTAGATGCTTAATACATGCTTATTTTAAAAAATCCATTTTTGTGTTATTCTGAACTTGACTAATCACCGACATGAACATTTTCACATGTATAGAATAGAGGAAAGAGGATTGTACATGAAAAAGCAAATCTCCATTATATATAGCTTGTTTTTTAAGGTTTATAATACATCTAACACATTAACTCCAAAAATGGCTTGCTTATCTGTGTTTCCCTTTGAACATACTTCTTTTCTCTTCTGTGCACTATTTTTTAATGCTATATTGAAGATTTTGTTTTCTTTAATCACGTCTTTATTCCCCTCTTCCTCATTTCCCCTTTCTCAAAAAAACCCCTCCCTAATAAGTAATAAGCATAGTCTAGCAAAACAAACCTACACATTGCCTTATGTTAAAACATATTCTTCATTTTTATTCCATCACCTTTCTGTCAAGTGATAGGAAACACATTTCATCCCTGGTCCTTGAGAGTTGTATCATGGTTGCTCATTGCATTGATCAGAGTTATTTAGTTCCTATCGAGTCCACTACAAATTTATGTTACATAATCTCAACTGGGCCCTCATTGTAGCAAGGCAACCTTTTTATACCTCCCTAATTGATCCACTATCCCACTCGCCGCTGTGGCTTTTCCAAACCTTTTCATCCTTCTTCAAACCTCCCAGGTTCCCCCACCTTCTACCCTCTCAGCTGAGAAACTTGCCTCAAATTTCATTGAAAAAAAAAATGAAGCCATTGGTCCAGACTCCCTCTTCTTCCTTCTTCCTCATTTCATTTCAGCCTTCTCTATCTCCTCTTTCACCCCTATCTCATATGATGAGGTGACCCTTCTCTTTAGCCAGGCAAGTCCATTTATATGTATAAGTGATCCCATTCCACCCTTTCTTCTCCAGCCCCTCTCTCATTCCTACTCACTAATCTTTAATCTCTGCTTGTCTACTGGTTGCTTCTCTGCTGTCTACAAACATACATGTTTTCCCCATATTAAAAAAAACCCCTCCATTCACCCACCCATCTCCCCTAGCTATTATTCTATACCTTTCCTCCCTTTACTGGCTTAGCTCCAGAAGAAGGCTGCCTATGATCAATGCTTCCACTTTTCTGCCACTCACAGTCTGGCTGCTTACCTCATCATTGATACTCTTTCCAAAGTTGACCTGCTCCCCTTACCACCTCCTCCATTTTAAATTCTCTTCTCATGCTCATCAATTGAGTTAAGAGAGGAAGTTCTTTTCCCACCTGAAATAATGCAGTCATAAAAGACCTAGAATATAACCAGTGTAAGGGAGAGGGTCTCCAAGCCAGTTCTCCTTCCTTCCTTCCAATGATTCAGTCACAGAGGACCTAGAATGTGATAGAAAGGTATTAAGGAGGCGTTAAGGAGTTTTCCAACAACCACTAACAGCTCTAGTCAACCAATACTTTAATATATACTACCAGTCAGGAAAGACTAATGTAAATGCAGGTACTTTGTCCTAAGGATCACATAACACTGAAGCCATGGTGATACCTTAAAAAGGATGAGTACAATATGTAAAACTCAGTGAACTAGATTGCAAACAAATAGCAGTATAGCTAGAAATTTGGAATTTCTACTAAACAGTATGCCAGCAGTGAACATGAACCTTGCTTCACTGAACCAGCCTTCTCTGCCTCATTTGTCTGCTGGGGAAGAGAAGAGATGGTTGATGGACTGTGAAAACTGATACACACCAAGAAGCAAGATGATAATGTCAAAAGACTCAAGTGCAGTCTCTTAAAGACAGCTTACTATTGACAAAATGGCAGAAGTCAAAGCCATGCAGCAGAGTAGTGTGCCTTTCACTGATCCCACACACAGTACTAGGAAACAGTTCCATTAATTTGTTTTAATAATGTGACCTTTTACATCTAGGTCATGAATTCATTTGGAGCTTATTACAGTCTATGGTGTGAGATGCTGGTCTAAACCTAAATTTCTGTCAGACTGCTTTTAAGTTAATTCCTTCTCTACATCTTCTGATGTCTAGGGGACATCAGCATAAATGTTTTTCTCCCCTTATAACATGCTAACCTTCCAATTCCTTAGTCTCTTGAACTACCATGATCTCCACTCTACCTTACTTATATGCAAGAATATTTTTTATTTCAACATGACCTAAAAATCCCAAAACTTTTTTATTAGACTTTGTTTTAAATCCACCTTCAGACACTTTCAGTTGTGCAATTCTGGGCAAGTCACTTAAGTTCTGTCTTCTTCAGTTAGCTGAACTGTAAAATAGCACCTACTTTATAATTGCACCTACCTCACAAGGGTCATTGTGAGAACCAAATGAGGTAATATTTGTAAAGTGCTTAGCACAGGTACAGAGTAAGTGTTTAATAAATGCTTGATTTCTTCCTCTTCCCTCCTACACAAGGATGCTGGCAGTGTCAAAGGAAAGGGATGTATATAGGAGATGTTATGAAGGTAAACTGGTAGGCAATAGATTGGATAGGGAATGTCAGAGACAGTGAAGAATCCAAGATGGCACCTATGTTGCCAGCTTGAGGAGAATAATAGAGTCCCTGACAGTAATTGAGAAGTTAGGAAGGGGGGAGAGGTTTTTTTTTCGGGGGAAGACAATTAGTCCAGTTCTGTGCATGTTGATTTTAAGATATCTATGGGACATCCAGTTTGGGATGTCCAATAGGCATTTGGAGATATGATATTGTAGATTAGGAGAGAGATTAGGGCTGGATAAGTAGATTTGAGAATCACCAGCATGTACATGATAATTGAATCCATTGCAGCAGATGAGATCACCAAGTGAATTAGTATAGTGGGAGAAGAGAGGTAGATCTATGATGTTGTTGTTATTGTTTGCCCTTCATTCTCCAAGTGGATCAATGACCTTATGAGGGTGACTTGCAAATAAATTGGATTTAAGTGAGGCAAAGCTGTGCAAAGTCATCAGCCTCACTCTCTCCTCCAGAATCATCTGAGTCCAGTGGCAAGACATACATCAAGATGACTGGTGATATTCCAGGGGCCCATGATAGAACCCCACAGGACAATCAGAATTATCAGGCATGACCTGAATGAAGATCCAACAAAGAAGATTGAGAAGGAACAGAAGGAGCAGTTAGATAAATAGGAGGAGACCCAGGAGAGAGCAGTGTCCTGAAAACCTAAAAAGAAGAGAGTATCTAGGAGAAGAAAGTGACCAAGAGTGTCAAAGGCTGCAGAGAGGTAAAGAAGGATAAGGATTCAGAAAAGGCCACTGGATTTGCCAAATAAGAGAAATTGTGAGTAACTTTGGGCACAGCAGTTTCTGTTGAATTAAGAGAATTAAGAAGAGAGTGAGAGGAAAGGAAGTGGAGACACCTACTGTAGATGCCTTCTCAAAGAATTTAGCCACTAAAGGTAGGAAAGATATGAGATGAGAGGGATCGATGGATCAATGGAGAATTTTTTGAGGATGGGGAAGATATGCATGTTCATAGACCGCAAGGAAGTGTTTAGTAGTAATGAGAGACTGAAGATAGGTGAGATGATAGGGATGTTAGAAGGGGCAATATACTCAAGAAGACCTGATAAAATGGGATCATTATACAAGTAGAAGAGTCTCCCTTGGCAAAGAAAAGAGCCACCTCTTTATGTGGGACAGGGGTGAATGTGGAAAGGCATCTAAGAGATGTGACTTGATAAAAAAAAAAAGGGAGAAGAGGAACCTCAGCAAATGGCCTTATTTTTTTCTTCAGTGAAATATGAGCATGATTCTCAGGTAAGAGGGTGATGGGAGGAGGAGCCAGGAGAGGTTTGAGGAGAGATGAAAACATTTGGAAAAGATGCTGTGCTGAGTGGCATAGCAAGTCAATTAGGGAGGTGCAAAGGATTACCTTACTGTAGTGAGGGCCCAGTTGAGATGTTAAATCTGTAGTGGATCCAGCGGGCACCATTTCCTGATTTTGGACAGCTTTGCTTGTCAGCACACATTAGGAATGAAGGTAGTAATGGTGGGAGTAATTCAGGGCTGAGGCTTGGCAGGGCAAAATCAGTGATAGAATAAAATGACAAAAGATTCCAGAGAAGAGGACAGTGTAGAATATAACTGGTTCACTAATGGAAGAGTGTGGCCAGTTGCAGGGGTGATGGCCTGGGAAAGACGGAAGGCAGAGGTGGGGAACCTGTGGCCTTGAGGCCACATGTGGCCCTCTAGGTCCCCAAGTGTGGCCTTTTAAAAGAGATTAGTTAGGGGGCAGCTAGGTGGCACAGTGGATAGAGCACGGGCCCTGAAGTCAGGAGGGACCTGAGCTCAAATCTGATCTCAGACCAGACACTTGACACTCACTGGTTGTGTGACCCTGCGCAAGTCATTTAACCCCAATTGCCTCAAAAATAAATAAATAAATAAATGTAAGGGGCTAATTAAAAGTGCAGCCTTAATAAAAAGGGATTTGTCCTGTAAAACTTGGAGTTTTTATTAAGTTTATTAAGGGGATTTGCTCTGTGAAGTTTGGATTCAGTCAAAAGGCCACACTTGAGGACCTAGAAGGCCACATGTGGCCTCAAGGCCACAGGTTCCCCAACCCTGACTAAGGGGTCAAGAGACTATAGGTTACCATGAAGACAAAGAACAGGGTTTGGGGTTGCAGGACAGAAGGAGAGATAGAATGACAACAAATTGTGATCAGATAACAGTCAGATGTGGCCTGCTACAACTTATCATATGTCTGTCTACATGTTGTCTCCCACTTTTTTCTGGCCCAGATATAATCTCCTCCTGGGCAAAAATGGTTCCTCTTTTTTGATTTCTATATTTCTAGTCCCCAGTACAATGCCAGCTACACAGTAAGCTTATTAGTTGATTGATGTGTTTAGATATGCTGTACCCCTTCCAAAAACCCATTCTAGGAATAGATGCTCTGTTCTCATCGTTCAGAATCTATTCTACTTAGATAGAATTCCTACTTGTGATTCCTACTCACATCCCAAGATTTCCTACTCATATTCCAAGGAAATGGGCAAATTGAGGAGGATGACCCCATAGGGCTCTGGGGGTCCCATTGTCCTCTGGGAAAATCCCACCCTGACTATGTTAGCAATGCCCAAAAGAAAATCTCTAGAGTGCCTTCTCTTGTCTCCAAACGTGCTCCTGAACCCTTTGCTCCCATTTTTGCTGAGTAAGCAATGAACTTCCCTTTGGCAGGGATCCCTCTGTAATAGAAAGCAGCCGCCAGCCCAAGCAGGCCTCATTTGATTGGCTTCCTCTGTTGGCCACTGACCCACATCTGCTCTGTAACTCTTATCTCACAATCCCTTTACTCCAACAGCTTCCTGCACATTACTCATCCCCCTTCCTGACCTTCAACCCTGTTTACACTTGGACTCCTGGTCTACCCTCCTTTCCCCCTCCCCCCAATCCCAAACACCACATGCAGACCTCCTGTGGGATTCCCAGGCTCCAGAGAAGATTCAGAGAGAAACCTGAAGATGGAAGTCTAACCTGAGGCAATTTGGATACATTCCAGCCTGCTGGTGTGGCAAAACTGGGTAGTTTCTCACTGCCACTTCTTTGTGGATATTTTCTCTTGATCTCTGAAATGACCCTTATGATTCTCTTCCACTCCACTTCCCGCCCCACTTTTGGGTTGAGTAATAAATATGAGCCTGAATTCTAATGAATATAATTCACAGAATCACCCAGTGTCTTAGTTGGGAGGGATCTGAGGCAGTGCCTTAGTCTAACAAGTGCCTGAATGGGAATTCCCTCTCTCATATCCCTGACAAGGGGCTGTGCAGCCCCCACTTGAGGGGGAACCCTTTGCCTTCCAAAGAAGTTCATGTCAAGGAAAATTTTCCTTTACATATATTGTAGAGCCAGAATCTGTCTCTGAAACTTATCAGTCCTGGTTCTGTTCTTTAGAGGCCATACAAAATAAATCTAATCTCTCTTTCTCAAGACAGTATCTCCAATACCTGAAGCCCATCAGTAGAAGCTGGAGTGGCCAAAAGTCCAGCTTCTGTGATATCTGAGCTGTCCTGGTTGAAGTTGAAGGCCAGAAAGCAAATATATGGGAATATCCAAGATCCTTCTCCATCCACATGCAGTTTCTACTCTCCAGGAGAAGGGACACCAATATGTCTTTGACAGTTTCCCCAGGGCATGGAGTAGTAGGACTTTAGATTTAGTAGCTTTTAGCCCTGTTATTCCTCTCCAACTATGGGGGAAGAGGCAAATACTGGACACCTTCTTGGCTTGTCTTCCCACCCTCAGGATATTCAGGCTTCATGTCTTTTGGACATAAATGAAAGAGCCCAGGGCTACTAGAAAAGTTACTCAATCCTCTAGCCAGCCCTAAGAATCTTCAAGTGCCAAAAGTGTGAGTGAAAGTCTTGGGCCTTGTTGGGAATTTGCTTGGAGGGCTGAGAGATAAAGCTGTATTCTTTATGGAAATGGTGGGGGTGGGGTAAGAAGGTGGAGGTATGAAGAAGGCATCTAGAAACTTCACACAGTCATCTAAAATTGTGAAGACTGACTTAGGTCCAGGAATCCTGGTCTAGGGAGGGAGTTTTTCTGAACAAGGAAATCACCCAAGTGTTTACAACTTTGAGAGGGTTACTGGCCAGATTCCTGGAGGTGGAAGGTCACTAAAGATCAATCAATGAGAATTTTTTTTCAAATTTAATTGTTTTTAATCTTGAGATCTGCATTCTCTGCCCCCCACCTCTCTCTCCTCTCCCAATTGAGAAAGCAAGAAAAACAAACTCCCATTACCAACATGAAGAGTTGAACAAAACATATGTCTGCTTTGGCCATGTAGAAAAAATATGTCTCAATCTGTATTCTGGGTTCACCTCTCAGGAGATGGGTGGGGCAGCTAGGTGTTGAAGACCGGGCTGGTAAGCAGAATCAGAATTGGGAAGATGCCTCTTCAAGAGTTCAAATCTGGCCTCAGAAACCAGCTTGTGAACCTAGGCAACCCAGCCCTGTTTGCCTCAGTTTCCTCATCTGTAAAATGAGCTGCAGAAGGAAATGGTAAATCATTTTAGTGTCTTTGCCCAGAAAACCCCAAATGGGGTCATGGAGAGTCAGACATGTGAGTAGCATGTTTCACATCAAGTCCTCTGAAATTGTGTTAGTTATTGTGTTACAGAGTTCCTAGTCTTTTTAAGTTACTTGTCTTTACAGTATTGCTGTTTTTGTATGAATTGCTTCTTTATTCTGTATCAGTTCATGCAAAGTCTTCCCAGATTTCTCTGAAACCATTTTCTTCATCTCAGTAAGTATTTCTTAAGCTATATGGGCCGGACTTTGCTGTAAGTGCTAGAAACACTAAGACAAAAAAAGAAAGATTCTCAGCCCTCAAGGAACTTACATTGTAGGGGATGGGGGTGGGGAGACAACTATTCTAGATAAGAGGACTATTTCTGCACTAGAGGATTGGATGCAAACTTCAAAGAACTGGTAATGAATCGAATTGGGAATCTCTCAACCCACACCACAATTATCCCTAAAAGAGGTTCTCCAATTTATTGAAGGACTGTACTTTTAAATGCTTAGCTCCTTAATTCCTATTTAATGACTCTCATGAAAGAATTACTCAAACCTTCTAGGGCACCCAGTCCCAGGAATACTTCTCCCCAGTCGTGAGCTAAATCTCCCCTCTCCTCCCTACCATGGCATGTATTTTGTGGGGTGTGTGTGTGTGTGTGTGTGTGTGTGTGTGTGTGTGTGTGGTGGTGGTGATGATTCAGACTTGTGGTTCTTTTGTGTGAAGAACTTCTTGGTGGAAACTGTCACCTATGCAGATCAGAACCTTATTTATAACTTAGTCATATAGGGTACTGAGTGCATTGAGAAGTAAATTGACTTACTCAGGCTCACAAAGTCAGTAGATGTGACAGCAATGATGTTCCTGATTCCAAGGTTCCTTCTCTATTACTCCATACCACCTCTTACGACAGTAATCATGTAAGCAGCTAGGTGTCCCAGTGGATAGATCACTATACTTGCAGTCAGGAAGAACTGAGTTCAAATCTGATCTCAGACATTTACTAGCTGAATGACCTTGGACAAATAACTTAACCGCTGCCTGCCTCAGTTTCCTCATTGGCGAAACAGGGGTAATGATAACACCCACTTCACAGGGTTATTGTAAGGATCAAGTGAGTTGGTGTAGTAAAGTCCTTTGCGAAACTTAAAGCGCTATATAGGGGACAGCTAGGTGGCGCAGTGGATAGAGCACTGGCCCTGGATTTAGGAGGACCTGAGTTCAAATCCAGCCTCAGAAACATAATACTAGCTGTGACCGTGGACAAGTCACTTAACCCCATTGCCTAGCCAAAAAAAAAGCACTATATAAACACTACTTGCTGTTATTATTAGCTATTAGTAGTCACGGAATACTAAAATGTTAGAGCCAAAAGGGTCCTTAGGGATAGTCTAGTCTCACCACTTCATTTTTTTTTTTTAACAAACAAAAAGAACCCAAAAAGGTTAAATGACTTGCAATGACAAGGTCACACAACTAAACAGCGCAGAACTGGGAGGGGGGAGAGGAAGTTTTCTGACTCTTAATTGAGTGATTTTCCTACTATCCTATACTATGAATCACCACTATCTTTCCATTTGCTATCTGGCTATCTAGCAGTATAAAAAAAAAAAGGAGTGTAATTTCAGGGTAACTTAGGTGTCACCTAACCAGAACTCTACTCTCTTTTGAAATACTAAACCTAATCATTGTTTAACTTTGTGACAATCTCACCACTTGCCTGAAGGCATTTGTTCATAAAAGAGAATTAAAACCAGAGACCCTTGAAATACTTGTGGACATTGTTGTAGAAGAAGCAAGGTATAAAGTTGTTGATCTCAAATCAATTGAGAGATGATCTGTAGATAGTGTTCTCAATCAAATTATTCTTTTTTTAAAAATTAATTTATTTTTAGTTTTCAACATTCATTTCCATAAGGTTTTACATTTTAAATTTTCTTCCCCTCCCTCCCCAAGACTTTGAGCAATCTGATGTAGGCTATATATATATATATTCCTATTAAATATATTTTCACATTGGTCATGTTGTAAAGAAGAATTAGAACCAACAGGAGGAACCACAAGAAAGAAGAACAAAAAAAAAACCAGAAGGAAAAAAAGAGCAAATAGTATGCTTCAATCTGCATTCCAATTCCATAGTTCTTTCTCTGGATGTGGATAGGATTTTCCATCATGAGTCCCTTGCAGATGTCTTAGATCTTTGCGTTTCTGAGAACGGCTAAGTCTATCAAAGTTAGTTATCACAAAACGTTGCTAATACTGTGTACAACGTTCTCCTGGTTCTGCTCACTTCACTCAGCATCAGTCCATACAAGTCTTTCCAGGTTTTTCTGAAGCCTGCTTGCTCATCATTTCTTATAGCATAATAGTATGCCGTTACATTCATACACCACAACTTGGTCAGCCATTCCCCAATTGATGGGTATCCCCTCAATTTCCAATTCTTTTTTTTTTTTGGTGAGGTAATTGGGGTTAAGTGACTTGTCCAGAGTCACTAGCTGTGATACTCACTAGCTGTGTATCATGCGTCTGAGGCTAGATCTGAACTCAGGTCCTCCTGACTCCAGGGCCTGTGCTCTAGCCACTGCACCACTTAGCTGCCCCTAATTTCCAATCCTTTGCCACCACAGAAATATTTTTATACATGCTATAAATATTTTTGTACATTTAGGTCCTTTTCCCATTTTTATGATCTCTTTGGGATACAGCCCTAGAAGTGCAATTGCTGGGTCAAAGGGTATGCACATTTTTGTAGCCCTTTGGGCATAGCTCCAAATTAATCAAATTATTCTTTTGCATAACTTTTGTTGAAGATAAAATACTGGTATTTTAGTTTTGCCCCTCTTCTGGAAGAACCTTCTACAGCTAGCATGGGGAAATTTAGAAATCAGAAAGAAAACTGAGACAGTTCTTCCTTAGTGAGTTTACTCGCTCCACCCCCCACCCCATGAAAATTTTAAAGATATGAATCACCCCTGCTTAGTCTCCTCCTTCAACCCTGACTTAAGAGTGTCAGGTTGAGGGTGTGTTCAAATGTCCTACAGACTGGCAACGAATATGAAGAGATGGTAGTACAGTAGCTCTTCTTCGAATAAACTGAAAAATCGAATGAGAGGAAGCAGGAGAAAAAATCCAAAATTGTGCCCAAAGCTTGCATGGACAACAAACTCTCCCCACACACTAGATGACTGGGCCCCACCCCCTTGGAGGAGGTGGTAGCGAGGTCTGGATCTTTCCTCGATCTCATAGGCTGGGGCTCCAGGCACAAACAAAGGGAGAGTCTTTCAGGGAGGGGGGTCTACTCGAAGATTGGCGGAGGAAGCTGAGTGTGTGAGAAATGAAATTGGGCTAGGGAGGAGGGGTAGGTGGTGTTCATCTTGGGGGGAAAGAGAGGGGTTTTTTTTTTTTGCAAGATTTAAGGTGGCTCTTGGCTTGTTACAGGCTGAGAAGCCGCACAGCTTTTAGATTATTTAGTCAGTACCTGCTAATTAGTGGGGAATGGGGTGAACTGAGGGCTCCGACAACATCTGGAGATTACATACCCAGGTCCCTAAAGCAATGCTGACAGTGGACACACTAACTGCATGGAATGAATTGGGAATTTTTTTTTTTGGTCATCCTAAGGTGGTGGGTTCCACCTCCTTAAAAGAGGCGTGGCGAAGTACTTCCATTGACTAAATTTGCCCGCGTGGGAAAGGCGAGACGGAAGAAGCAGAGCCCTCCCTTCCCCCAACCCCGCAGCCTTCCCGCCTCTCCCCCCACCCCACCCCCCGCTTCCCTTGTCTCCCGCCACCACCCCCGTGCCTTCCTCCTCCCCCTCCCCTTCTACCTCTCGCCTGGGGTACTCCCAGACTGAATCCGTGGCCGCCGCCACCCCCTTTTCTCCGCCTGCTCTCACTCTCGCGTCTTCCTCTTTCCCCGGGGGTGAGACCTGAAGCAGGAAGCTGCTGGAGGAGGCAGCGCCTGGGGCTTTGCATTTCGGCAGCTCCGGGTAGGATCTGGAGAGAGCCTAGTGGTTGTGGCGTAAGCAGCAGCTCCAAATTTGTGCGGGGCCGCTGCCTGGTGGGCCCCTGAGCTGGCTGCGGCTAGCAAAAGGATGGAAAAGATGCTGACAATTCCCGAAGGCTACGAGGACCGAGAAGGGGGTGCCTGGGCTACCCCTTCTGCGTCACTGGAGTCTACAAACCTCGCCGCTGGCTGATGGAGAAACTGGGCAAAGGCAGCTTTTTTGCAGATCCCTTTCCTGGGGGCTCCCCAAGTGCCTTGCCTGAGAACCCCCATCTCCACCCCACCCCAACTTTTCCTGAGGCCTTAGAGCAGATATTCGCAGCTTCAGGATGGAAAATAGCCCAGACCTGGCGACCTCCCAGAGGTACGTACAGTAGAGCCGGGAGCCGAGCAGAGGTGCAAAAACAGAGCAAAGCGGGAGAGAACTGAAGAAAAGAACGATCAAGGCCCAGGAGACAGGACTGGAGCATATTGCTCGGAGCCAAGCAGTGCTTGATCTGCGGACCGCGCCGTATGGAATCGGGAACACCACCCGTCCCTTGGCTTTTTTTTTTAAGTGTTGAGAAGGGGATTTTTTTTTCCTCAATGGCAAAAGAATGTCATTCCCCCCCCCGAAAAAAAAAAGGTCAGCCAAGGAGAACCCCCCACAAGAGAGATGGTCTCGGTTGTTGCAGACAGAACACACGGCTTCAGCTTGGCGGGGAGGAGAGATGGGATGGGGGTGGAGTGGGGGTCGTAAATTCCTTCTCTGTAGCTTTCGGAAGCTCAGAAGGGTCAGAGGCTCAGGAGAGTTGCCAGGTACGTGCGGTTTTCATTATTATTATTATTATTTTAAATTTTCTCTCCAAAAGAAAAGGGAGAATAAAATCGCCGCTGGTGTGTAAGTGGTTTTCTTGTAAACGTGTCTTTACTCGGGGGTTGGGGATCGGAAGCAATTAAGCCACTGTGGGAGCTGAGTTATAGGCTGGTTCCAGCTTCGCAGCCCCGCGATACAGACCTTATTCAAACTCCAAATGCATGCTGGGGACGGGGGCGCGGGAGGGGTGTGTGTGTATGTGATTTGAGGATGCCACGCTTGGAGAGAGTTTCCCTCTTGTAGCCTCGGGCTTCTAGCCGCAGAAAGTGCTGCCGGGACCAGAGTTCCCCAAAATTCCAAGCCCATGCATTTAGCGCTCTTTGTTTCCGAAGATCTCGTCTTCCTCTCAGAAACCCGTCCCTTTTTCAAAACCTGCCAAGATTCGGTCTTAGCTGATTACAGGAGATTTCTTCCCTGGATCTCAGGGAACTTGTTATTGCATTGTGGAAAGAACAGGCGCAGCTCCCCTACAAGGTTCATCGTTTCTCTCAAGGAGTACTTGTCTGGAGGCTAATCATTCTTCCCCCACCTTCGAGTCGCTTTCCCCTCCCCCACACACTCCCAACAAAAACCCCACCAATTTCTCTTTTAAGGAAATCACCTAAGTTTAGGTTTGTTTGGTTTTTTTAATTCCCCAACAATCTTTTGAAAGGGCTACCTTTTGAGAATAAACGAAATATGGAAAGAGAACAGGAAGTCCATTTTATGTTAAGCTATTTTAAAAGAGAGCATACCGTATCCCCCTCCCCGAAAAAGTTACAGATGAGAAAAAGATTTCTCCACTTCCTAATCTTAGTTTAGAACTTAATTTTGTATTTAAATACTTTTGCTTATTTTTGTTTGAAATTTTTCTGTTCGGTATAAGTAGAAGAAAGACCTTATTTAGCTGGGAATTTGGTACCCCTTTTCTCTCGGTACCAAGATAATTTGATCTCTTCTCGTAAGCCCCTTCGGGTGAAATGAAATTCTATCTAAGCAGAAAAATGAAGACTATTTGGTGATGGGGAGGGGGAGGAGAGAAACTTTGGCTCCCTACTCATCTCTCCCATAAATTAAGCAGAACAAAGGGTCTGAGCCCAGCAAAGGAAGAAATGGAATGAGGGCTGGGAATTGCCTGCCTCCGATGGAGGCAAGTTTCGAAAAATAGAGCCAAAGAAGTTTGTCTCCTGAAACGTCCTGGATACTACACCTTCCGAAATATTTGCCAAATTTTTTACGTGGTAGAGTGGGGAGGGGATGTGTGTGTGTATGTGTGCGCGCGCAAGAAACATGTAAATCCCTAATGCAGACCGTGTGGTGTTTGTGCGTAAATACCGCCCTTGACGCCTTCTCAAACTACTGTGACTTTGGCGTCCCGGAGAAGGCAGCCCAGACCGCTGCAGTCCGAGGGAAGGTCCAGGGCCACTTATCTGGGAGATTTGTCTCCCTTTTTCCCTTAAAGAAACTCCATCGCTGCCTCCAGTAGAGGAGGGAAGGAATTTTTCTGAGGCGGGAGAACTCCAAGTTTCGGTTTCAACGTCCAGGGGAACTGTGTGGGATTTTTAAAACAATCAAAAATCTTTTCGCCTTAAAAAATACTCTCCAAGCTGTCTAGACCCCCTCAGCGGCCTTGGGCTCCCCAGCCTAAACCATGGAAAATTTATTTCTCCCTCAAAATAAAACCAAACCAGCCAGAAAGCATCAGCTTCCTTTGGAAAAAGGCGCCGAAGATTTATGTTTCCCTGAATTCCCCACACTCTAATTATCCCTATTTTTAGTTGACTTATGATCGGTGACCACGTTAAACATTTTTCATTAGGAACTTTCTTTTTCTTTTTTCTTTAAAGAAAAATAAATGGAAAAAATTCAAACGTGCCGTCCGCTTTGAGGACTTTTTTTCGGAGGGGGGGACGCAGAAATAGCAATCGAGTGGCTTTATTCTTTCTAAGATCGAGCCCCATCCCACATACCCTTTACATTTTTTTTACACAGTTTTTAAGGGTTTATCCCAGGCCCTCCAGCTGCACAGAAACGGAAGAAAGAACGATTTCCCCAAGCATCTTCCCTTCTTAGGAAACTTTTCCTCCTCGGTCCACCTGCATCCTGGCTGAGACAGTTCGGCGATGGGAATTGAGATCCCGGTACCGCTGTTATCAGTGTCTAAGTGTCTAAGGTATATTTATCGAGTAGCCCCCTCGCTTTTCTTAGACACTGACTCTTAGTTGCTCCCCAACTCCTCCTATGGCTCCCGATGGATTTTTCATTGTGCGGTTCCTTTGGTGGGGCCCCATGTTCTTCCTGCTTGCCCGAAGTTTTCCAAGAGTTGTGGCAGGCCGAGGCTCTCGCCTTTCGTCCCACTTGACTTGAACTGAGTAAGGGAAGGAAGGATATTCCCTTTCTCCCACCATCCTATTCAGAAAATTTCAAAATTGGAGGCAATTATTTTTGTTGCCTGAATTTTCTTAGCCTGGCCAAAATTCTGAATGCCTTTTCCGGGGCGGGGGTGGGGAATGGGGAGGGGAGAAGTTAAAGTATCGCTTAGGGTTTGTTACGGGAGTTTGCAGGTTTTTCTGCCTTCTGTGTGTGAGCTTGGGGTGGGGGGGGGGAAGGAGTGGGTGGGAGACTCCCTGCTTCCCTCTCTCCCGAGGCCTGTCTTGTCCCCACACCCCTCTTCCTTTGTTTTGCTTTCAAGACAGTGAGTTAGAAGCAGCAGGAAAAAATAATTAGATGGAAATCAAAGATTAGACGAGAGAACGGCGAACTGAAAAGAGAGACTGGGGCCAGGACACTCGCCCGGCGCCTCATAAATCTTTTTCCAGGCTTTTGTCTTCATCTTCTGTCCCATCCCCTTTGAATTTCGAAACTTATCGACCAGCTCTATCCCAACCTTTAGCTTTTCTGAGAGTGAAGGAAAAGGCTCTCCAACGATCCTAATTTCAGACATCTATCCAATTCCTAAGTCCTTTTCGAGCAAGTGTATTCTGAAAGGTATTCGAATGAATAATTAGTTATTTGAGTTAATTCTTTTGAGGGAGAAAGGGAGTTGAATTGAGGCTCTCTTCAAATCCCACCCCATTCCTATTTCCCAAAAATATGGAGAGAGAGAGAAAGAGAGAAATATCAATTGATTGTAATCAGTTTTTTAAAAAATATTTTCCATTATACCCAAAAGGTCTCCAATGGTCACAATTACCTTCCCCCCTTGCCTGTGTGACTCAGTTGCCCTGAGAAGTTGTCAATCTTGTATAAGGGGCATTTCTCATTGGGAGGGGGTCAGGCATTGAGTCTTGTATAGATGAGTAAGGGAGAAAATCTTCCAGATCGATGAATATCCTAGACTGAGCATGGAGAGTGATGGGTGTGCTAATAGACCAAGTCCCTCTGGGTGCCCGCCTGTGTATGTCTCTGTGTCTTATTGTGCACAAATAACACACACACACTCACACACAGGGATACATACATCTTGCCTTTTCTATATTGCCTATCTAATTGTGAGCACAAGAATGGACACGGAGGAGACTGGAGGGCTACCAAACCTCCTGTCTCTGTATTACTTGTACATTCCAAACACAGAATGTTAGAGAAGGAAGGGACCTTAGAAATGATAATTTAATACATTTCCAACCCCCCCCACCCCACTCCACATACAGGCTTTCTCTTTCTGTCTCCAACTATTTAGGAAGAGGAGGTCTTAAAGCATAGGCCAGGTTTACAGTTATTATTTTTCTACGCAAATTAATTAGGAAAAGCACTTTTACGGCCCCCCCAACTAGAAGACTGAAGAAGAAAAATGTGGATGGGAGAATCTTTTTTTTTTAAATTATTCTCTTTATGTTGGTCCCATTTCTGACCTTTCCCTGCTGTTAAAAAAAATATTGCCACATTTAATTTTTGTTACATTGAGATATAGAAAGGGGAGCCAGCATTTTGAAGTAATTTGATAAGCCATCAAGTAGCGAATCTGAAAGGTAGGCTGACTGCACAGGTATAGTTTCTTTATAACCTGAATTTACAATGAAAGCATTCTCCTTTATGGATATAATAGATTAGATTTCACAACTTAATTCACCAGAATGGCTCCGTTTAAGGGAGCTCCGGCTGATTTTATTATGCCAAGCCAAATTGGATGTTTGTGGTCTTAACAAAAAACGATTGTGACGTGAAGATATATAATTTTAAAAGTAAAATAAAGCAGGGACTCAACCCTCTCTTTTCCTCCCCCTTCCCTCTCCTCATCCTCCCCCCCCCCCAGTTTCGGAAACACTAATAATCTTTGTGATTGGCTAGGGAATTTGAACACCCTCTCTTCTAAGGAGGCAGGAAAGGAGTGTAGGAAGTGGAGGGATTGAGAGAACTTCCCTCTTTTATTAGCAAGGGCTCTGGGTCTTCTGGGGATTGGGGAACTAGCTATAACCAGTGCTCCTCCTCCTCCCCTTACTTGCTCCCCCGTGGGCTTCATTCCAGCCCAGTTGCAGGAAACTGTCCCAATGTATTTGGTTGAGGGTGAAAAGGGAAAAGAAAGATCTCCCTGATTTCTGCAGTCCAGCCTCTATTTCAGAGAGCAAGTTGAAAAGAAGAGAGTCTTTGTTGACCCTTGGAGGGGGAGCTAACGATTCAGTTATTTCACTTCCTAGCACCCCCTGTCTTGGACCCCTTCTTTCCTTTGGCAGCCTGATGGATTAAGGTTGTTAGGGGTAGACTGCCCCTCTTCCACCGGCTCCTTCCACTTCAAATTCGGCAGAAAGGGGCAAAGGAGTATTTTTCTTCACTTACGTTCCGAATGGAAACAGTGTTTTCTCAAGTCTCTCCCCAATCTTTAACCTCTGAACCCCCAATTACACACTTTCCAAGGCCAAAATCACCAGGATCCCAGTAATTCACATTTTCCCTTAGCTCCAATTTCCAAAACGGAGAGAGAAAATACAAGCCAGAGTCCTATCATTCCTTCTTTTCTTCAAAGGATACCTATTTATTAAGTGCTTGCTGTTTGAGGGATTGTAATCTCCGGATGGTTGCTCTTCTTCCCAAAAGGGAGGGGGAAGAGTGTTGGTGTCCGTGTAATACGCAAGGTGCCAGCTCTCTGGATATGCTGCAGTAGTCATGGCTGCTTACTGTGTACCTCCATCCCCATCCCTTCAAGGCACCGAAACTCTCATTCAATCCCGGAATAAGTATTAAACTGTACTACAAAAGAAGTAGCAGCTAGGCTAGAAAATACGACACTTGGTCCTTGCCCCCAAGGAGTTTATGCTCTAGAAGAAGCCGGTTGGCACTATGGGTGTATGCTGAAACCCCTAGGGTTTATACGCATATGGTTCTCCCCTATCTGTAAGGTCCTAGGTGTTTTTCCTGGTCACCAGCGCCCAGATGAATGCCTTTCCTTCTCATGTGGACTTGGACAGAATCCAACTAGGGATGGAACAGACAGCGGTGGAAGCAATAGGTGTGGGTCGGCTGACTAAGGCCCCAGTGCATAAAATACGAGGTCTTTTGGATTAGCTGTTTCTTTCGTATTTGTGCTGATACCCACGCAATCCTGTGTGCTCAGGGAGTTCTCTGGCACTTACAGAAATTCAGTCTGAAGGGGGAAAAGAGCCTGCAAGGTAAGGGGCTGGAGGCCACAGACCCCGGCAGAATCGTTGGGTTTTCGGAAGTCCGTATGTAGGAAACCAAACAAATCTCAAGGCGAAGGGAGGAGCAGTGACAATACAGAAAATGAGACAAGACCGGGGGCAAAGGAGAGGGCCCCGGTGCCTGGGCCTCTTCCCCCTCTCTTTCCTGCTCGCACCGAAGCACTTGGCTGTCGCTTCTCATTAAAGTAGTCCTCTGTTCTCCGGAGAGTGGCGGCTTCACCTCCCCTCTTTCTTCTCCCCCATCCCCCATTTCTTTGGTGCCTTGCTGCTGGCAGATTTAAACCTGGAAAGCCGGGGCGGGGGCGGAGACAAACCGAGGATATCTTCGTAGATTTAGAGCTGGAAGGGACTTTAGAAGTCATCTCGTTCAATGCCCTCCCCCCCCTTTTAACTAAGTACACTGAGGCTCAGAGAGGTTAATGGGCCACTATGATACAAGCAGTATGCTAAAGTCAGAATTCGAATTTAGGTCCTCCAAATCCAGGGGTCTTTCTATTGTACCTCCATCCCTGGCAATGTATGCATTCCTTCTGCCGACTCCCTTCACCTCACCCCCCCTCCCAATATCCCACATCCCATCCACCGCAGTCCCTTCCCGTTTTCTACCATAGTCTAGCTCCCGCCTCTGCGCCTCACCCTCACCCCCCCCCCATCCTCTAGGCTCTTATTTTCAGATCTCAGCTTCCTGCGATTCACTTGTAAACGGCTGCGACCCCAGCGAGTCTCCGGGATTGGAGCATCAAACTCCTCAGGGGCCTTCTGCACAATCCTATTCTTGAGGTTGCCTGGAAGGCTCTGGGGTGTGGGGGTGGGGACGAGAAAAGAGAGGGGGAGGGGATCATGTCTTCGTACCCTTTTCACAGCGCTCTCTCACTCTCTCTCTCTCTCTTCTCTCTCTCTCTCTCTCTCTCTCTCTCTCTCACTCTCTCTCTCTCTCTCTTTCCCCCACGTGGTCCTTCCGGTCCTCTTGGAGCCCATAGCTTCCAGAGTTTGGAGCTAGTGCTACAAAAGCATGAGTGTGAAAGAGCATGTAAGATTTTAAGTTGTTATGTTGGGGCTGAGCGAGAATGAGCGTGATTATGAATGTGTGTGTGTGTGTGTGTGTGTGTGTGTGTGTGTGTGTGTTAAATTAAACCCTCCGTGTTCCTGACCTTGTTTTTTCCTCAAGGCTGATAACGACAGCAGCTGTTTCTCCAGAATTGCTGCTGCTGGGTTTCTCATTTTTACCTTTGTTGTTGTTGTTGTTTCCACAGTCTGCTGGAAAAATACTCTGGTCTCAGAAAGTTTAACAATAGGCCTGGTGGATTTCTGGAGATACCTTACCTTGCTCTGGGTACTGGATGGGATGGGTCAAGGCCATTATCGTGCGAAGAAGGTCTTTTCATCCAATTCCCTCTCAGTCAACTTCTTTTTCTCCTTCCAATAGACTCTGGCAACTGGAAAGTTTCCTAAGTTCTCTTTTTGCCTTTAAATCTCGAACCCCATTCCCAATCCCTGCAGATGAAAAAAACATTTTTGCCCAGACTATTACCATAGGGCAGCATGTAAACCTCTCTGGGTCTGCCATCCTTTCCTTTTCCTCATCTTCTCTTTCATTCCTGGCTCTTCAGAACCCATGAGAAAAAACCAGCCTCTTCCTTCCAAATCTGCCCCAGCACTAGGAAGGTATCCATTCTTCCACAGATTACAAATGAACAGCTGTTCTCCATCCTTAGCAAGGATATGAGTCAACCCTCCCCCTTCTCTCACAGGTACAGATCTCCACTCCCCTTCCTCAGTGGGAAGTTGCTATCAGGTCTTGGAAAAGAGCTAAAGAAAAATCCTTACTGTTCTAGGAAGCTCCCCATGGATGGGAGGTAGACACTGCTAAACCTCTATTTTTGTTGTTATTGGTGGTGTGGTTTCATCCATCCCCCTGTTATTGGATTCAGTTATTCTCTACATTGTTAGGGGCAATCCCTCCTTGACGCTTCACCCCATCAGCACACAATTATGATTTCCCAAACAACCTATTTTGACCTCTCCTTTAGCAATCTCTCTACCTTCCCCCAATCCCAATAAACTATGCTGTTGTAGTTATGAAGCATCTCCCTCCCCTGGAATCCTCGTTTGGTTCTGGCATCAAAACTAGCCCAGAGTTGGTTAAAGATTAACCCTCTTAGTTCAATGGGGGAGAGGGGAGGGGGGATTCTGGGAGAAGGGGACACTAGAACACTGGAAAAAGTGCTGTACCAATGATCTCTCACATTCTGTCGTCCCCTGAAAGGGGAACAGGGTCTAGCAAAGAGGATTGAATCAGTGATCTTCTACATTCTGTCTTCGGGTACAGGGTTTGATCCTCTTCCATCCCTGACCCCATTCTTTAGTTTCCCAGATTCCAATTTCTCATTTCCCCATCTCCCACCTTCAACCCTAACCCCCTCAAGGAACTGAGACCCACTGAATCCTAAACTAGATGATCTAGAGAACAATGTGGCTATTCCATTGGGCTTTAGTCTCCACTAATTTTTTTACTTACTACCTCCCATAATTTTTTCTGGACCCTTACCTTCCTTATCCATAAAATGAGAGGAATCATTAGCACACTACCACACAACAGGTATATTGGAGATCCCAGGAAAACCAAGCCTGGAAGAAGGAAGGCCACTAAGAAATGTAGAAGTTTATTGGTTTCATCTATTTTTGGTGCCTGTTTTATTGACTGGGTTTCCCTATGGGTCCTGCAACTCTGTCCAGGTGATGGTCAGTTTCTATTCCCTACAGTTTGGGGGAGGGGAGGGAAAGAGCAGGGAGGCACAAGGGGGATTTCATTTTGCTCTGGCAAGTGCCACATCTGGGCTAGAATTTCCCATAGTTCTCAGGGGGCCCTGCAGAAACAATACCCCAACCTTCCTCAAATGTCACCTGACCCTCCTTAGAAAGGGGCCAGGATGGGGAAACAGAAAGTCTAGTGGCTTGCAGGAGATTAGAACTCATGAGTATTAGTGGACACACCCACTCTCACCACGTGATCTGAACCCCTAAATGGAACCGGCCTTTTTGTGCCAGCTCCGGGGCTTTGCTCCCTCCTGCCCCTATTAATCTACTGATCACTTCATACTAGTAGCCCAGATAGTAGATTCTCTTTACTTGTCTTCCAGGGCTTGCTTTATTGCTTCACTATTTAACCTTCCAGACTTCCCCCTTATATAAATATACCAGATAAATAGATTCCCTCTTTCTCATTCTCCTAATAGTGTCCATAAATTTATTTACATTTCTAATATGCCAGGTACTTTAACATGACACACTGCATCATCTGGCCTGTACTAAAGATAGGGATTGAACTTTAGTCTCCAAGCAATTAAGGCGGCTGGAACTGTACTTCATTAATGGTTGTTATGCAATAAAAACGATAAAAACTGCCTTTATTTGTGATATAAAAATGCAATTTGTTTTAATTTATATTTCTAAATACTTCTGAGTTTCGATGAGAGCCCTTCCAGGGCATTTGTCATTGGGGTGGGTGATTCACAGACAGTTTAGGATAGGGACCAGGAAATGGCAGCGTCTGGAAGGGAATCAGAAATAAGGTTCGATGGTGGGGCAGGGCAGAAATTGGGCAAAGAGTACATGAGAAAATTGAAAGGGAAAGGAAGAGGAGGAAGTAGAAGGGGGGAAAGGAATAACCTGGGTGGAAGTGCATAGTGAGTTTTGTCTGGTTAGGGATGAATATTCTTGACCACCTCTTTAAAAGCTGTCCACCTTTTTCCTTCCATGACGCTGTAAGAGAAACTGATTTTTTTAGTGAGACATCACCTTACGATATTCCTGGAATGTACAAGAAAGACTTCAAACAAACTAGCAAGTTGAGAAGGCAGAATAACATAACAGACAGGACAGTGGACTTGAAGTAAAGAAAACCTGGGTTCAATTCCCACCTCAGATACTTACTAGATGTATGATGTTGGGCTTCACTCTGTGCCTCAGTTTCCTCATCAGTAAAATGAGGAAGTTGAACTTAGGTAAAAACTTTCTGGAGATTAGCTTTGAGCTTAATATTTGAAGGAGGAAAGAGAGACACATGAATTAGCAACACAAGGAGAGAGGGAAAGTATTTGGGGAAAGAAGGACAAAGACGTCCATGATTAAGCCCAACTGGAAAGTCTTCCAACTCCAACTTCTCTTACACTTGGTATCTCTACTGTACACTTACGTTCTAATCTGAATAATAGGTCCACTCAAAATAGCATTTTAAAAGCTCTTATAGTGTATAAGGCAGTTAAAAAATAGTCCCTGTCTTCAAGGAGGTTATGTTTTACTGGTCAGGATACAACATGGAAAGAGATAAGAATATATATGATATTTGGAAAGGAAGGAGAGAGCTTCCCATAGGAAGTAACACATGAACTGAACTTGGAAGAAAGCTAAAAATTCTAAGAAGCAGAGGAGCAGGGCACTTACCCTCATTCCTAAATCAAGCAAAATGACCTTACCTTTGCTGAATGATAGACTTTTACCCTATCTTGTTAACTCTTCTGAATCTCATATGACTAATCATTAGATCATTTGACAAAACTCCTTTTAAATATTATTCTGTATATGGCTTTCATAGGTAGCATGTTATTTCTTAGCTAGACTCCTTACTTAACCCCATCATATCTGCCCTTGGAGGGGGAGGGGAATTTGAGATTGGGGAATAAACATCTTTTCCTAACCTTGCACAGAGCTGGGTGAAGAGGGTACTATTTGTCTTGTCCTCTTTCCAGATCGCCCCTAGTTTCAGACATCACTGGGTTTTCTCCAGATCACCCTAACACTGACTTCATTGCTGCTCCACAGGGCTCTCCAAGGATATTTAGACTCTCTTTTCCCCTCCAATGAATTTTCCTGCAGCCTCTCAGCTCCTTCCACTTTTCTTTTGGAAGCCTCAGCTTGCTGAGTTAATTGGCAAACTTTCCCAGAAGTAAACTTGAGTGATGGAAATTAATAATTTCCCTGGCTTTGTACTCATTACTAATCAAGCCGGCTGGGAGGACTAGGTCTCAGGGCGAGTCAGAGGACGCCTGAAAAGCCATTAGCAAGAAAGAGAAGATCTTCAGGGTGTAAGGGGGTTCCCCCATGCAATTTACCAGCTCTAGAAGTCACAGCCCTCGCTCTAAGCACAACAGTGTACAGGTGCAGAGATGATGGTGATGCTTTTAAAATGATTAGTAGCAATTATTACATATTGCACCAGTGAAGGAGTCAAGAGACCTGGGTTCTAATCCTGGCTGTGCTGTCACTAACTGGCTGTGTAACCTTGAACAAGTCCCATTGACCTCTCTGGCCGCCTTTCTGGCCTCCGTTTCTTCATCTCTAAATTGAGCGGGATAAAACTAGATGAATGAATGAATGAATGAAAGAGAATTTATTAAGCATCTTCTATGTGTAAGTTTAGATGATCTCCAAGGTCCCTTCCAGCTGGAACAATTTATGGTTCTTATGGAAGAACGCTTCCACAAATAGGGTAGGAAATCAAGGCAAGGTCAAGGCCAGAGACTTTGTGTAGAGGGGCTAGCAGTAGGGCTGAAGGCTTTAAAAATTGTTATAGCTGTCTTCGGGTTTTACATCACCTTTATTTCCAAATGCATCCCTGTCTGCCTCACAGAGAGCCATGCCTTGGAGACAGAGGGAGGGAAGGAGAGAGGGAAGAAAGTGGGAGAGAGAATGAGAGAGAGAGAGAGAGAGAAAGAGAGAGAGAGAGAGAGAGAGAGAGAGAGAGAGAGAGAGAGAGAGAGAGAGAGAGAGAGAGAGAGAGAGGCAGTTCATTCAACTAACCAACATATCAACTAAGTCTGACAGAACATGGCATATCCAAACTTCACAGAACAAATCCCTTTATTAAGGGGATTTGTTTTATGAACTTCAGGTTCAATCAAAGGGCCACACTTGAGGACCTAGAGGGCCACACGTGGCCTCCAGGCTACAGGTTCCCCATCCCTGCATGAATGTTCTACACCCATCATGCTCCACTTCAGCACAGGTGAGAGATCCATTTTTTCCTCCCTTTTTGAGGCCAAACTTAATCATTATAATAATACAGTTTTTTGGGGGGTCTTTTTGGTTCTTTTTGCATTATTTTGGTCATTCTACATATTGTTTATCTGGTTCTACTTACTTCACTTTGCATCTAATCATATAAGTTTTCCCATACTTCTCTGTATCTTCCTATTTACCATTTTTTACAATGCAATAATATCTTATTATATTCATGTTCCACAATTTCTTATTCTCCAATTGATGGCCATCTACTTTATTTCCAGTTGTTTGCTACTTACAAAAAGTATGCTATGAGTATTGGCTGGAGGCTTTTAAAAGCTAAAGAATTTCTTCTGTCCCTTCCCCACTCCTTGCTGAAAATTAAACCAGCAAGCATTTATTAAACTTCCACTGTGTGCAAGAAACACTGCTAGGTGCTGGGGATACAAAGACAAAAGTCTTGCCTTCCAGGAGCTTATATTCCACTGGTATGCAACAGGTACATAGATAAGTAAATGCAAAGTATGTACAAAGTAGGTTGGTGTAAGGGGCAGCTAGGTGGCACAGTAGATAGAGCTCTGGCCTTGGAGTCAGGAGCACCCAAGTTTAAATTTGGCCTCAGAC